ACTACTACGTAAGACTAGAAGTAACGACTTACCTCCTACTCTACTAAACCCTAACTACTACCTTCGTTCTATTAGTAAGTAGACACGAATACTCACGCTCTCTCTCTCTCTCTCTCTCTCTCTCTCTCTCTCTCTCTTCTCACTCTTAAATCAAGAAAAGACCACCCATTTCCTCTTTTCTCTCTCTAAAACAAGAAAAGCTCCCTCTTTTTTTCTCTCTAAAGAAAGCTCCCTCCTTTTCATGTTTGCAGGCTCTGAAGCTCCATGACTCCCCCTCTTGGCCATGTAGATGAGGTACCAGGTGACTGTAGCCTCAAGGAGCATGATTACATAGGCTTATCAGAAGTTTCATCAATGGAAAGAACTTCTCTTTCAAAGGAAGAAAATGGAAACTCTCTAAACTTGAAAGAGACTGAGCTCAGGCTTGGGCTTCCTGGTTCTGGTTCACCTGATAGGAAAAAGCCAGAGCTTTGCTTGTTGGGACCTCTTAGACCTGAAGAGAAAGGGATTTTTCCTCTGGTTTCGCCAAAAAATGTTGTTTCAGGAGCTAAAAGAGGCATCTCTGATGTTATTGATGGCGTAAAGAAAGGTGTTGCATCAGATGGGAAGTGGGCTTTCAATGGTGGCTCTGGATCTGAGGTTGGTTCGGGTGTTTGGCATGGTAATGGAAGCCATGACCACCTCTCTCCTGGTTTTCTCTCTCCTCGAAAAGGCACTAGTAATGGAAAGGACACTGCTCAAAACGGGGTTTCGGGTTCGGGTCACGACAGGGCAAAAGACCAGAGCCATGGCCAAGTTTCTCCTGCCAATGAGCATGGTGTCGCTCCTGCTGCAAAGTAAGTGCGAGAAAAGTTATGGCTTTCTGTCTTGAGTTAACTTCATGAAATCTTACTCTCTGTCCCTCTCATTTTTGTTGTTGGATTAGAGGATTCGACTTTGGTTTTGAATTGCTATTGCTACTTTTTTTTTTTTTGCCTTCTCTCTGGTATTCTTAATCTATATGTCCATGGACTAGCTTTGTTCTCTTATTTTTCTTTATTTTTTGAATCTCTATTTTGTTTAGTTAATTGATGTCTGTTATTTGTAATAAGCCACAATGAACAGTGATTGATTGAGCTTCTTAGCTCCTACTGTGATACTGATTTGGTGTTTGGCCTTTCCATTTGTGTTGGACTTGATTTCTCTCTGTCTCTTTCTCTATCTTCCCTACCCCATATTTTTGTATGGCTTCTAGAAAAATTCTTTTTTTGTGCATTATTCTTTTAAACTTCCATGGGTTTATGATTTACTTATATTTTGCCAATGATTTGAATTTCCCTATATTCTCAGATTTGTGGGTTTCTTTTATTCTGCTTCTTTTCGTTGTTTGATAAACTTGACTTGCGGCGATTTTGTTTGCATTATTTATCATTGTCGTTTTTTCTTGGAGAGAGTTATGATTTTTCTCTTGTGAAGTATTCTTTAGAACTATCATGGGGTTTAGATCCCTACTTTTGTACACCTGATTTGTGTTTCCTCGTGTTATCAGATTTGGTGGTTTTCTTCCTATTGTGCCTTTTCCCGGTGTTTGATCAGTATGATTTGTTAGTATTTTCTTTGCAATTTGTGTAACCATGTTTTGCTTCTTTGAAAGGGATAGATGGGTAACTGTGTTTTTGACTCTTGGTTTTTTTTTTTAATTCATTTTTGAAAATTTGTGCTCTGAATATCTAGTGGTTCCTTAATTTTGTATTAGTCTTCTATAGAGCTGTTCATCAGGCCATATTTTCTTACTGTTTTTTAATATATTTCTTATCGTGATTTCCTCTTTATTTTATCCTTTTATTCTCTTAATCCTTTTGATGTTTGTGATTGTGATTTTCTTTTATATAAACTGCGTGTATGGAGTCATAATTTGGCATTATTCTGTTTTCACTGTTTTTCTATGTATAATTTCAGGGTATTAGCAACTTGCTGATGCTTTATAACTTTTGAAGTATAATTTGTGTGGAGTCCATATGATCTCTATATCTCTCATATTGATATTCCGGAAAAGAGGGTTATTCCTTCCTTACATGATTATGCAGCTGGTTTTCATAATTTTCCTTTGCGGCTATTTATTTTCTTTTCTATGATTTGTACACAAGGGCACAAGTTGTAGGTTGGCCACCAATTCGCTCATATAGAAAGAACACCATGGCTGCGAACCCTGCAAAGAACAGTGAGGAAGGTGAAGGGAAACAGGGTTTGGGGTGCCTCTATGTTAAGGTTAGCATGGATGGAGCTCCATATCTAAGGAAAGTAGATCTCAAAACCTACTTGACATACACTGAACTCTCCTCGGCTCTTGAAAAGATGTTCAGCTGTTTTACCATAGGTGAGATTTCTCATTCAATTTAGGAAGTATATGTGCAGAACTGGTTATTTCAGAAAAAAAAACGGAGATGTGCAGAAATGGTTATTTTTTAAAAAAAAAAAACTCGGAGATGTACAGAAATGGTTATTAAAAAAAAAAAACGGAGATGTACAGAAATGGTTATTTCAAAAAAAGAAAATAAAAAAGGGAGATGTGCAGATAAGCTAATTTGAAGGAGAGAGAGGCTTTTGGAGTAATCATTTCCTTGTGTTTTGTGGATGAATATTTTTTCAGGTCAGTATGGACCCCACGGAGCACCAGGCCGTGATGGGCTTACTGAGAGTCGGCTGATGGATCTTCTCAATGGATCTGAATATGTTCTAACCTATGAAGACAAGGATGGAGACTGGATGCTTGTTGGAGATGTGCCTTGGGAGTAAGCTTCAACCATTCGCTTCTTTCATTTTTCTATTATCTCTGTTTTATTAGGTTTTATTAGTAATGAACTATGCAATAGTTCTTGAATTATAATTGTGACTGAACTATGGATCCTTGAAATCAAGCAGTCTAGCTTTCTCTCTCAATGACAGAAACCATTTTTTAAAAAATCGCTTATCTGACTCACGAGTCATCCGAGTCGGACTGGTGATTCCAGGAAAATCCTAGAATTTCCAAACGTCCAAGTATTTCCTTTTTTTTGTTTATAAAAATTCCCAGTCTTGACTCGCTCGCATCTCCCATTTGGTCTCGGGAAAATCATGGACTCAGACCCTTGCCAGGTCAGAGCCTAGTCTGACACTGTAAACTCCGAATTGGAACATTTTGGGGGGTGTAGGTGGGTGAGGTGGGGGGGTTGGTCTAACACCAATTGCTGTAGTGCATAACTCATTTTAAGGATGGAATTGCTACTGATTCCTCATCATATTCAACTGGGAAATGGATGCAGAGGCAAAGAATGGAACCTACATCTATTGCATAAAAATGAAGCAACTTTCAGGAGTTGAAACAGTGCCTGACTATACGGCGCAACTAACTGCTGGTTTTGGTCTTTTCTTTGTGTAGCATGTTCATTGGCTCATGTCGGAGGCTCCGCATTATGAAGGGTTCTGAGGCAATTGGTCTAGGTATGATGCTTTTCTTGGAATTACTGGTAAAATTCAATTAGAGAGAGTGCTCGGGGTCAATTTTTTCAAAGTCTGTAGGTCCCTCTACATAGTATGAAAATGGGTGTTGTACTGAAGCTAATTTTAATTCTTTTCAGTTTTCTAATGAAAAATAGTTCCATTTCCATGATTCTCACTCTATACTTTGTGGGGCCTAACCTGCAACGGGTCTCTATCTTGCAGCGCCGAGAGCCATGGAGAAATGCAAAGCCCGGAACTAGGCTGGCACCCCAACCCAACCAATCTTTTGCAAGCTCAATAATTCTCTCTTCTTTTCTTTATATCTGTATGGTTTGCCATATTTTCCAACTGACTGCAACATCAGCTGGTTGATGAGATTTCTAAAGACATTTAGGTAGGCTCTCTTTCTCTCTCTCTCTCTCTAGGTAATTATCTGTAAGCACAAATTCTCATGTCTGCATATATTTGTATGTATTTATACTCTTCTGTGTGCTATTTTGGGTGTGCCTGTTTCTTTATATATGAAAAATTCAGACTGCAAAGGATAATGAGAGCTTGTGGAATATAGAAAATTTTGACTGAAACTTGAGTTGTTTTGAACTCCAATACTAAAATTTAATTTAAAGAATAAGGGTGTTGGGTTTGGTAAAATTGGATGTGAGCTTGGGTTGGATGGTTTGGTGCATTTGTGTGTAGAGAGAGAAAGAGAATTTATTTATTACAGAGAGAGAGAGAGAGAGAGAGAGAAAGGGGGGGTTCGGATCCTCAGTTGTGCCAACTTTTGTGCTTGAAGTATTATGGTGAATGAGGGAGCAAGAGAGAGAGGGCAACTTTTATGTAGAGAGAGAAAGAGGGGCCAACTTTTATCTGTTTGTCAACTATTGTTTGGCAAATTTAATGGTTGGAGAATTGTGTCATTTTGTTTGGTCATTTGCTAAATAAGGATGGGTATGATGAAATTGATGCCCTCTGGTGACACTGATGTATGCTTTTGATTGTTCTTGATAGTGGAATGGGGGGATGCATGAGTAGTGCGGTATTTTATTTGGAAATGTGTGATAGACATGATGTTGATTCAACCCCAATTTAGCCAATGGGGATCGCACTATTTTTTCGGACGGAACTGGGAATCGATCTGATTTTTTTATTATTATAAAATCTCCTGGTTCTATATAAGAATTTGGCGGTTTATCTCGGAGAATCAGGAGATCTGGATCTGCCTAATAGTTGGGATCTCATTCATTTTATTTTTATTTTTTAAAATTTTTAAAACTACAACTGTTTTTTTAACTAATTTTTTTATCTGATCTAGCTTAGATTAGCAAATCTTAATTGGTCCAAAAGATGACTATCTAGCCTTTGGATTCGGGTTTTAAAATATAATCCACCTTTGGCTAAAACGTTGTTAGGCATGTCTATGGTTTTTGGTTTGTGTTGAAACAACAAAAATACCCT